CCACTCGAAATTTTATGCAAATAGTTGAATGTTACGCTAATGTGTTTTGTATGTTCTGATAGCAAATTTCGTGCTCTATAAACCACAATGAAGATCTGTTTTCCATAGCAGTTTACTTTCTATTAATTTCAGGTTATACGGAATGTCAGGTCGATGAGAATCAGCCTCCCACTGATCAGCCAGCTCAGTCAGTCACCAAGAAGGCATTGAAAAGCTGGCTGATCGGTGGGAAGAGGTCGCAAGAAACATTGGAGATTATATTATTGACCAGTTTGTTGTAAACATCTATATTTTTTATGGTGTTGTACGCAGTGTGCTTGAAATTTAACCAGGAAAACAAAAAAATCATGAGATATGGGTCCACCAGATGTCTGCAAGGTCAGCGTTGTCGGTTTTGATTTTCTCATAATCAGTTGTGAGCCATCCCAATACAACGATATGTAGCTCAATGCTTTACTCAAACCATGGCGAATCTATTGAGCTGCTACAGGAGCTTTGAAGCTTCCGTGGAAAGCGGCATGGAGAAGAAGTTGAGTATGCTGATTCTCATCGACCTGGCATTCCGTACTACTAACCTGAAAACAGCTATGAAAAACAGATTACCATTGCAGTATTATAGAACACGAAATTTGCTACCAGAGCACACAAAAAACATTAGCGAAACATTTCAACTATTTGCATAAAATTTTAAGTGGAACCGACGCGATGACATTTGACCCTGTCCGAAATCTGCGAGATGAAGGTTGCCAACTTTGAAATTCTTGAAATCAGTTGTGAAGCGTCCTAATAGGTTCCTCTTGCTAGGACTTCTAGCTCAACCTATGGCAAATCTATAGAGCAGTTTAAGCGATTTTAGCGCTTCGAATATTCGAATAAGCGTAAATAGAGGCAGCTGTCAAAGGTGCTCATTTTCGCCGACTTAACTTTCAATTTCGACGACTAGAAAATTCACAAAAATCATTTCTCTTCTGGAGCCCTTTCAATATTCTTATAGTACGAGAAGTTTCCTATCAGATGATATCAAACTTGCTCGCAAAATTTTTTTTCACTTTTTCGACGAAATTTCTTGAAAAAAAAACGCATTACTTATGTGCCAACCCCGTTGTTCTTCATTTCTAGCCTTTGTCATCTCCATCACCTTCTATTCGGACTTTGCAGCATGAGCAACACCTAAAATGTTATTCGCATCAAGAAATTGCGTTTTTCCTGACTAATGGAACGCTTACTAGGGAGGTCGTTCAGGACGTGGAGCGCTTTTTGAAAACGGTTTTTTGCATGATGTGGGGTCACGTGCATGGAGTACCAAACTTTTGTTCATTTTTCCTGAACGCCTCTGGGAATGCCAGAAATGGAGTGAAAAAGACGTTCATGGAAACAAACTGTTTTTGAGTCTGAATGGACTCCAAATCACTCGCAACTTCGGCCAGTAGCTGCCTATAGGGTCCTTATAAAGGTTGCACTGGTATCGATGAGAAAAGTAGTCGCCAATGGGGTCTTACTTGTGGCACGTAGTTAAGAGTCGACGACTAGTTGAAATGGGCTCTTAAGCAATCGAAGTAGTAGCTGCGCCAACGATCGGATGGCCTAGTGGATAGCGTGGAGGGTTTTCAAGCAGACAGTGGGGATGGGGGATGATGGTTCGCCTCTCCTCAGCTTGCACGTTTTTGCATTTTGTATTTTCCTTTGTTGTCGCTTCCATATACGTCTGTAAATGAATTTTACTCGGATATCTGCCATTTATAGGCACATCCTAATAAATAGTTATACCCCGTAGTCGGTCCAATTCAGCAATTTCGATTTCACATACCATTAAGCGAGAACATTCTGAAAGTTGAATGTTATATGTTACTCGGTGTCCTGACCACGACTATGGCATTGACTTTCAGCTCTAGTGCCATTTATCCCCAATTTGAAGCCACGTCTTTCTCCCACTGAAGTCGCCATGTACATTCGTTTGAGGGACCAGGGCCATTCTGACGCCAGATTGGGTTGACGTCAAGAATAAGTGTCAGAATTGTGATCAGGACCATCGATTACCCCTATAGGCAAACTTTCGGCCAAAAAAAATTTTGACTTTTTTGAGTTGTAGGCCGACCATTTGGTCGACAGTGATGACCGGAGACCCACAACTTTGGAGCTGCGATGACGTAGCGATGACGTGGTGGGCCGCCGGGCAGCCGTATCGCAGATTTGGTGCTCATAAGGTCCATTCATACTTGGCATGGGCATGGGTGGCCGCAGAACAAGTGAAAAACCATCCTGGACATGTCGCCCCCCCCCCTCCGCGACGGCCGCTCAACGAAGATGTCGTCCTCCTCTACCAAGAGGACAGACTCATCCGATTTCTTCACTTTTTCAAATGCACCTGGAGGAATTGATGTACTATTTTTGTTCTTTTTTTTTCGTTTTGGCGTTTTTTGGTTGTTTGTCAGTTTTTTTGTCTCCGTACCGCTGAATGAGGGTTTCGATAACCAGCAAAAGTACGACTTCAACAAAGAAACTCTTGAGCATAACCCAATGCACAGACTCAAAAAAGCCAAAAAATTTTTTTAGCCGAAAGTTTGCCTATAGGGGTAATCGATGGTCCTGATCACGATTCTGACAATTATTCTTGACATCAACCCAATCTGGCGTCAGAATGGCCCTGGTCCCTCAAACGAATGTACATGGCGACTTCAGTGGGAGAAAGACGTGGCTCCAAGTTGGGGATAAATGGCACTAGAGCTGAAAGTCAATGCCATAGTCTTGATCAGGACACCGAGTAACATATAACGTTCAACTTTCAGACAAGTTCTTGCTTAATGGTATGTGAAATCGAAATTGCTGAATAGCACCGACTACGGCGTATAACTATTTAGGATGTGCCTATAAATGGCAGATATCCGGGTAAAATTCATTTACAGACGTATATGGAAGCGACAACAAAGGAAAATAAAAAATGCAAAAACGCGCAAGCCGAGGGGAGTCGAACCATCATCCCCCATCCCCACTGCCTGCTTGAAAACCCTCCACGCTATCCACTAGGCCATCCGATCGTTGTGGCATCTACCACTTCGATTGCTTAAGAGCCCATTCCAACTAGCCGTCGACTCTTAACTACGTGCCACAAGTAAGACCCCATTGGCGACTGCTTCTCTCATCGATACCAGTACAACCTTTATAAGGACCTTATAGGCAGCAACTGGCCGAAGTTGCGAGTTAGAGTCCATTCAGACTCAAAAACAGCCGGTTTCCATGGACTTCTTTTCACTCCATTTTTGGCATCCCCAGAGGATGCCCATTCAGGAAAAATGAGCACCAGTTTGGTACTCCATGCACGTGACCCCACATCATGCAAAGAACCGCTTTCAAAAAGCGCTCCACGTCCTGAACGACCTCCCTAGTTAGGCCGTTTTTATTGTCATGTTCTGTGGAAATGCGCGGCCGCGGAATGAGCACAGTTGTTCTTGAGTTCTAGCCCTCGTCATCATCTTCGGTTCTTATTTTGTACCACCTGAAATGTTATCCGCATCAGGAAATTGTGCATTTTACTCGTATTCCAAAGGGCAGTTACAGTACTTGGCAAAAAGCCAAGAGAGCTGCGCGCGAAACGGCTGTTAGCATAAACGGTAGGCGGAGTATGGACGATTGGACTTTCCCACGGCCCTGTACTCTAACCCCGCGCAGTTTCGGGCGGGGAAACCACGGCACATCGACAGCTGAGGGACTGATAGTCACATACACCCGTATGTGAGCACACCATGTGTCTTTAAGTGACGTCTCACCGCAGGCGACTCTGCCACTATGAGGGAAGATGTGCGAAAAAGTGGACTGGACAAACGTTACATACTCTGTCCATCTATATGGATGTCACGCTTTAGTGGTGAGATCATTGACAGTCAGTTACTCGCGGTCATTGCCCACGCTTTATCGATTTTCCACTTAGTGTACTGGCCATGACATGAATCCGACATGAATCACATATTTGTTACCAGTCGGCTCGACTGCGCCGGGCGAGCGCTGCTTTGCCGCGCGTATTTCTTTCACATATTTCTAGAGTCAACTGATATCCGTCTTTTGTTCTGTACTCCACTTTTTTCCGGTGTCTGAAGTACTCTTGAGCTATTTTACAGATTCTTCGTCTGACTCCGCCCACCTCGGACCACACTCCGCTCCCAATTTTGTGCCCCACCTTCTTCACCGCCGACCCTCTGCTGAACTTAATCCACTTTTTTTCCGGTCTTTGCAATGCTCTGTAACCGAGCTACAAACTTTAAAAATGAGTATCCTGCGATTCAGGGCAAGCTCCGCCCACTGTGGGCGGGTCTTAACACACTTTGAGCGTGCCCTGTATTCGCCGGGTATTTACATTCTATACTGAGTTTTTTGCGACTTCCAAACACTCTCGCGAACCGGGTTACTGAATTTTGCGAGAAGCACTGCCCACCTTGGGTACGCTCCCCCCATTTAGGGTGCACCTGCCACTGTTAGTCTGGCGACTCCTTACTAACCTTCGTCCCTTTTTTCCCCATCTTTATGCTGCTCCGGAAGCGAATTATGAACATTTTTCTGCGGAAAAAAGCACACTTGACCTGTGGCAAGCCCCGCCCACTGTGGGCGGGTCAAGTGTGCTTTTTATTTCTTGTCCCATGCCCTACCTATCCCCACCTTGACTGGACCTCTCCAAGTCGTTCAGGTCGAACCGAATTTCCGGATAGACAAACTTACAGCCTCACAAACAAACAAACAAACAGACAAAGCGAATTATATATATGGGGTGACTCTGATGCCATTTTCTACTACGGTAGTTTCTTTCCACCATTAAGAGAGTTTTGCTGAGCCCTAGCATAAAGGGCTACGTCTTTCAGAAGACTTCTAGTTTAGAAGGGCGACGCCTTCCAGTAGACTTCTAGTTCAGCAAAAAAATCGGGGCCATTGCTAGTAGTGGCAAAGGCTAAGTTGTACACTGCTTCTAAAGCTTAGGCATTCCCTTTGAGATCTGTTCAAGAGTGCCCACGAACGTTGAAATTTGTGCTCAATAGGTTCTTCTGATATAAGAATGTCACCTTCCTCGATGCTAGTAACCGTTTGGTTCAGCTGCACATCCAACTTCTCAGCCATCGCCCTAGAATCCATCTTTTTTAGTCTGGAAATTATTTCTGACCTCTTCTCAATGACTGGTCAATCCACCTGGTCAATCGATTGAGTCCACCCTGCATGAAGAGAGCCTGGCCATGGCCATAGCGGGACAGCAAATCGGCTACAGTGGCATTCTCCGAGGCTGCAGCCAAAAGCAGGTGAATAATCGATACTGATTTATCTGGTGAATCGAAGAGAGTCTGGAAACGTAAACGTTGAGTTTATCATTTACTTTTTATGATACATTTGTTCCTGTAATGCGATTGAAAGAGCAGAGTTGGGAGAAAGAAAAGGGTAAATGCAGCCGGAAATAGAAGACCAGAAAAAGAGAAATTTAGATCTCAGAATGAAGTGCTTGCTCGTATGACGTCCCCTCAGCAGCTATAGTTGTACTGCTTCATCCATCATTACCGTTCCTTGTAAACTTATTGTAGAGAAGTACAGTTTGGAGGGTGAACTGTGGAGTTGAGCAGTCATCATTGTAGAACGATTCCAAAAAGAAGAGACAGAACCTTTTCTGATGGTAGTGTCTCTTACTTCGGTTCCTCATATTTCCATGAGTAAACTAAAGATGATCGAGTAGGAACATTTTTGTTGACATCTCTGGAAGCCTCTGGGTACCACAGTTAGGCCGCACCGGTACAATGTATTGGGTCGGCCCATAAGTAGTGGCGTTTTTTCCCCACTCAAAGTATCGCGCTGAAGAAGAAAAGTTTTGCCATTGAGTTTCATACCGTTTTGCAGAAAAATCCTCGCCGTTCACAATAACCTTCTTAGTTTTCTCCATGTTTCTCTTTACACTAATATTTAAGTGCTCAAACTGAAGTGTCAGGTTAACGAAATTGAACATTTTCGACAGCCCCTTTTTATAACACTAATTAAAAAGCTAAAACCGCATGGGCCTACCTGCTAAGTATATGGCTGAAAGGCTATGTCTCTCAGGAGTGCTAATAATGCTTCAGGTGATTGGAGTATTTCAGTTTCGACCTTACAGACAAGCATCGAACTCTATTCTGTCCAACTGAAAGCTTTCTGAACTATCTTATTCACGGATATTCATGCCAGTGATTGAGGGACCGCTAGAGGTCATGGAATGTTTCCCTGTCACTATCAAGCATTACCCTCCGTTGATGTAGACGTTCGAAAACAAGTGGATAGGTTCTGCAGGCCTCGTCCCTTCTCAAGAGCCCACCCCCCCCCCCCCTGCGTGATGCTCTTTTACAAGGACCGAACTCCCACCTCTTGATCGCATGAACCGACTTCAAGCTGTCATAAGACATCTTCCTTTGGTCATATATACCACAAGGTTTGAGCTTCTTCTGTAGAGTGAGCGCCGAGACAAAATTCAAAAAGTAGTTGTCGAAAACTCACTTTCGGGTCGACCCGAATTTCCCTTTCAATTAAATAAAAATCTACACAAGTCGAGAAATAGTAAGGATGCGCAATGATATTATCTTATAGTGCGGCAAATTATCTATCAAAGAGTGTAGAATATAGTGGGAACAAGTGTCATTTTTCATACGAAAATTTTTGTGACAAAAAAACGCTACTTAAAAAACGCTAAAACGCTACTAAAAAAACGCTAAAAACGTTACTTATCGGCTAACATAATAATTTCACGGCATCCGACCGAAGATCATCTGCTTCCCCACCCAATTGCGGTGAATCGATGGGCGAAATAAAAGGATTATAGATAACAACTAGAAGTTGAAATCTCTATTTGAACGATGCGTCTTGACATTTACCCCCCCCCCTCACCCTCCTAGAGTGAGTGAAAAGGAGGAACGAGTGCTGCGATGAGGGCACTAATCACTCCTTCAACCTCCCTTTTCGATGGAAAATATTCAAAGGTAGAAATTTTGTACTATAACTAGACTGGAAGTTTTCGTGCACTTTGAGAATATCCCCGACCCTATACGGGAAGGGAATCATTGTAATATTGACGTTTCCACACCTCCATAATGTGCCCTGGGTTCAGATGAGATTTCTGAGTCATGTACTTGAAGATATCCAAGGGTCCTTTTTCCTATGGTATCTATGGTTTTTTTTCAATATAATGGGACTAGCGAACTTTGAAGCCTATTCAAAGTGACGCTAGTATATCCAGTACAGTACGATTGAGCATTAACTTGCTCATCGTCAGTTGAATGTTTTCGAGCTCTAGTAGCAAAAACACCACATAAATAGAAACATACTTCCGACCAACGAAATCGTCGTTTTTTCCTCCAGTTTCGGCTACTGAACCTTCGATAGCGGCTACAGACTCACCTGAAGTAAACGATTCGCTGTGTCCATTGTAGGTTTTGTTTGGCCAGTGCTCAGCAGATAGTCATGGACGTTCCTCGATGCCCACGATGACACCTCGGTAGAATTGATCACGTCGCGAAACGAGCGGCGAGTCGTGAGCGACTCCGATTCCGACAAACTTAACGACATAATCCTTACATGAACTACCGTAGTCAAGTGTATAGTCACTTCTTACAATTCCTTACACGCAGAGCCTATTAGCGGCAAGAGAGGCCGTCATCGGCCGCACAACCGAGCAGTACTTTTGACCACCATGAGCACTTTGATTTTTCTAACCTCACTAGGGAAAAACAAAAAATCTCGCATAGTTCTGAGAACTTTTTTCAATTCTCGTCATTTTTTCCGTTTTTTCAAACGTGCGATTGTATGCCCAACCGCTGACTGACTTGTGGTCTGCAGTTTTTTGAGCTCATTTATGATAGTTGGTGTGCTGCGTGGAAATGATCCCAATAGCGGGCAAGAATGACTTAGGGGCAGCGGCATGTGAAACGAGCGTGCGCGACAGCGAGCGATGGAGGCATATGCCGTGACAATGTGAGAGAAGTCACACCACAAGGTGTGATTGTGAGTGACAAGGCACAAAAAAAACAGTAAACATGACATTCGCAGAAAAACACGAACGCGCACGATGTGCACGTAAAAAGTTGCAAAAGGTAACTTCGGAGACCCACTGCGTGATTGCTATTTTGGGAATCGGGAGCATTCTGGGATGGGGTTCAGTGTGGATCTTCAGGTGACAATTGTTTAACCAGCAAAGAAGCAAAGAAATACTGTTAGAACTTTCTGGGTTAATTATCGTGCATTACACGGTTTGAGGAGTGCCGCATTTGGGTCGCCTTGAGAGGATAGCGTTTGGCGTTATGGGCGAGCTACAGTGACGTGGGGTGGAGATTTCTGGATTTTTGCTCGTTTTACCCTCCTCTTTTACTCTCCCTTGTTGACGGAACTATTTATCCAGAAATGGAGTGCTGTACCAGGTGAACTGGAAGTTTTTGTGCCTTGTGGTGAGATTCCCGAGAAGTAGGTTGTCGTGAAATCGGCGTTTTCACATATATTCATGATGTGCCCTGGGGCCTCAGGCTGAACCACAGAGTGAGGAAGTTGATTGGGAGTTATCCTTTCATCGAGGCTATGCTTCGCCTCGATGAAAGGATAACTCCCAATCAACTTCCTCACTCTGTGGTTATCTCTTCCAACCCCTTTTCCCTCGGTCTTCAATCTCCTTTTACCCCTGCTTCCACACCCCACCCCGTAGCGACATGTGCTAAAAGAGAGGAAGAGATGCTGCGGCGATCGATTATACTCTGCGGTGCACTATATTCGCTTCAAACAGTGCGTTCAAACTCTTTTGGTGAGCGCGCTACCATTGCAATAGCGTCGAAATGCTTTGGACGAAAACATAGCTCTTGCCAAAACCTCATCGGCCGCGTGCCGATCCACGCATTTTGATCTGGCGCGCGGCCGATGAGGTTTTGCAGAGCTTAGAAGGAATTCGGACGGTACCAGACAGTATGATTAGACTTCTTAAAATACTGGTCCCTGTGTGGTCGCAAAAAGTATAAGGCCACTGATTAGACGAGCCTGCGATGAATAGAGAGAATTAGTGACGCTGGGTGAGCCAGGAATAATTGAAGAAGAAAACCAACCGTTTTCGTTCGAATGTCAAGTGTTCGAGTTCCGCAGTTGGTCTGAGAAAAGAGAGGTAATCCGAACTCGCTGGCAAGAGTGGCGAGTGCTGTCGCAGTTGGTGATATGAATGTGATCCTGTACAGAAAGTGAATGACAGAGGAGAGCTTTTATTCGACTTTGCTGTGATGGTTACTGGGAGGTAGACGAGCTTCAGGTGGTGGGATGGGATGTTACTGGGCGTCACTTCGTATGGTTTCTTCTACACTTTGCTCTTCTTGAACAATAGCATTTGGTTCAGTTGCTGCCAGCCTTACTTCCAGCTTCGTGATGCCCAGAAAAAAAGCAGCAGATCTCTATTGTACAGTCGTCATCCTTGCACTTGATAGGGCGTGTCGGCGAGAAGGAGCGTGCACACTGTTTGAAGCCTTCTCAGCCTTTTTCGTTGAAACGCGTATGCGACAAAAAGTGATAGAAAACGAGTAACACGAAGGATATAATACAGTAATGTCACTTCCTGGTCAACGATTGGTGCAGTAGGCCGGCGGGGCGGACCGCACCACACGCAGGCGCACTGACATTGACTATCAAGTGCAAGGATGACGACTGTATTTGGGAGAGACAAGGGATGTACGCAAAAGGCTTGCCCTTTGGGAGATCAAGACTTGATCATGAGCTTGAAGGGATCGATCATGCACGAAAAAAAAGTTGAGCAGCAGTTGCGGAGGTCATCCTACAAGACAAACTGAGACTAATTTTGTGAACATTATTGGTCACTCACCAGTGTCTAGCCAAACATCGCCTTCCGCCGTTCTCATCGTCCTTGCACGTATTCGGCCTCCAACCTAAAATCAGACGAGGAATTTCCACTTACTCCCACTGCTGAAGGTGAGTGGCCACACCTGGTCCCTGACTTCCAAGAGCTTTACACGAGCGCCGGGAGCCATTTTTGTTATTTCATGTGCAGCATTCAACCCTGTGAGGCCTGCGCCCACAATAATGACGTCGTAATCCTGAAAAATTTGGATTCAAGTTGAACTCTGCACGCGGGATTTTCTTCCCTTTCATTAAAATCATCCATACAATTGAGTTCAAATAAGAATGCATTCTTTATTTCTGCAAAGGGAGTTAGATCTCTGGAGTGCGTAGAATGTGTAGATTTCTGGGCCTAAAACTCTTCTGCGTCGAATTAGCTCGAACTTCTCTAATTTACTATATGTTTTTTTCGTGAGACCGAAGGATTGAGATTAGGCACGTATGCGGCGAATCCCCAGGAGGGGGTCGTGTTCGGTTGGAGAAGTTGGTGGGGAGGGTCTTATTTGGACTCTGAACTTTTTACTTGAATATTTTTCCTATTTCACGCGCGCGATGCACATCGTAGGGAGACTCCCACTGGGCGTAAGGGGAGGGGGAGGGACGTGATTGCTCGTCGTTTTCGAGAGGGAGTCGCAGACCATAAGAAAATCTGCAATGGGTGAGGAAAAAAAAAACTTCCCCGTTGTTTACTTTTCGCGCCCTTTACCGTTTCGCATTTGCTAGTCCTGCCAGTTTGGTGCGCGGCGAAAAACCTATTCAACGTCTTCTTGCTATTTCTTCTCGATGGCTAATTTTAGTAGTGGCTCGGTTCCTACCCTGCCGCACACCCTGCCGAAGTTGCACTTTTCAAAAAAAAACGGCCGCCGAGTTTTTCCGGGAAGGGTTGAAGGTTTTTGTTGTAAAACTGGAAATTTCTTCAAAAAAAACTGGGAAGAAGTGGCGGGAAGTTGGAAAGAGTTAGTAAAATGGTAGGTAGAATCGGAAGCGGTGGCGGGGAGGATCGTTCCAGAGGAGGGAATGTTGGCAAATGGTTCACATTTTTCAGAAATTCACCTCAACGACAGGACGTGCCCTGATTGGGACCCCGTCCGATTACCTCGCCCGTTATAGGCCGTTATTAGCAGACCTTCGTTTCGGACTGTTCTGCCTCTAAAAATTTTACTTGTTTGAAATGTGAACTTCTTGTAAGCGCATCTCAATGCTGCATGAAGTGAAACGCTTCTACGCGACGAATCTTCTCAGGACGCTTCAAACAGTTTTCCAAAGCAGTTCTCGACTTTTAAATAACATAACGATTATATTCATGTTGTTTACTTGATGATTGAGGGGTCTGTCGCCCATTCACGTCACGGCCACGAACCGGTTTCTCGTCATTGATGCCAATTTTGCGGAATTCCTCCCAAAGAGCGGCGCCCAGAGTTGCATTCACAAGACAATAATGGATTGACAATGAACTTTGGAGTATTGTTGAAAAGAATCCGAAGTCGCGAAATCCATCTGCCACTCTGCGTAGAGATTCGAACTCGGATGGGGAGTCAAAACGTTTGGATCTTTCCATCACAAGCATCTTTATGGGGACCTTCCTGTCGGTCTGATCAAGTCATTATTTTGTAGCATTTCTTCAGAGTGTTGCAAAAAAGCATCCAAGAAGGTATGGGTTCTGCAGATGAATGTCCCGTACTTTCAAGTCTCTACTCATGGTGAATATTTGAGTGTAGATGAGAGTGTTGCCGCAACAATGGGTCGTTCATTGTTTTCTTGCACAGCACATAAGTGGACGAGAGCCTAGCCCCCATTCGTCTTCTTCAGACCGTGACGGCTACGCTTTTTGCATTAATGGCGTCACTCGTAATGATCTCGTATGGAAATGTGTTGTCGTTGTCTCTGCCACCTCCTCGATTCCCTGGATGGTTCAGCGCTAGCACTAGCATGGTTTATCAAAGCCACCAAATGTCCAAGTTCTTCGTCACGCCCTGACCGCTATACGAGCTAAATGTGGGACCTACTTCTCTCCATTCAATGGAAGCAGAGAAGATCGGGTCCTTGGGCCTTACCCTGTCTTCTTACAGTTTGTTTTGTTGTCTGAAATAAATTCACCGTAATCTTCTGCTAGACGGTTACTGCTGGAGATTTGCGACTGTTTGCCGTCCCGTCTGGCTCCAGCACCGTTGACAAAAAACGCTGACTGAATTCTGATAGCTTCATGGGTTTCATCGTAGCGACGACGGAAAGAGCCATTAAGTCCGGAGAGCTTCGCTCTCGTGTTGTCGCCAATTCGTCGGCACACAAACCGCTTTATCCTTCTTCCGGTTTGAAATCGTAACCAAACGCTTTGCGATGGCTATGCGGCATACGACTAACCCCTTGTGTCTGTTTGGCAAGAAAAGAGGGCAGCTATGAATCGCCCCAAATGGCTTCTTCACGGGAAGTTCAGGGATGGACTAATTCTCTTAGAAATTGGAAGACTAACGGGCATAAATAGTGCTCTATTTAGAGTTGTTGGTTTCGATCCCTCAAGTGGCATTTATGACACAACCCTGACTACTGGAGTTTGAATAACTAGCTCTAGGTACTTGCTATTTATTTTTTTATGTGTAGTAAAAGTTAGGATTTTGGTCATGTTCCACAGGTCACCATTGTCTAAATTGTTCAGAAGCTCGGGCGCCAGTGGTAGCCCAACTAACGGAAGAGATTCAATCGAACTAGTTTTTTTAAGAAGCAAAAACTGTTATCGTGCGGAAATAAGTTCCTAGTAGTAGGTAGTTAGGGCTCCGAAATATCAAAGGGCGGTTTAAAAGCAAGAGATAAGCAATGCAGAAGAAATCGCCTGGCCGAGATGTTTGCTCAACTCATTTGCACGCCTCAGAGCAGTTGATTCTCTCAAGTTTACCCACACAGAGAAAGAGCATAAGCGAAACGACCGGCATTTTCAGAAAGATCTTACTTCGTTCAATGGTGTGCTTGGCGCCGTCGCGACCAACACGCAGCAGTACACTCTGAAAATCGTCGCCAATGCGGACATTCTGTCTGGAATTTGGAGAACGTTAAAAAGTGAACATTTTGGAAGGCAGAACTGAGAAAAAGGCAAGGTGTTGACGTGCAATAGTGACTAACGCATTCTGTAGGGGTGAAGCAAATAGCAGTGAGTAGTTCAGGGGTTAGCCCCACAATGGTGGAGAACTAGTCTAAAGCGTCTCAAAAAAAAACGAAGAACTAAATGGATGCTCCGATAATAATAAACGTTTATGCCATTCAATCTCAGTCAGATCCAAACAAATTTATCTGACAATGAAAAAGTCTGTTTTTATATTATGCGTTGTCGGAAAAGGGGAGAGGCACGGATCTGGGACATGAGCTATGCTGACGATTATGATATCTCATTTCTGTCAATTGTAATTAAATAGGACATCTGTTACTGTTTCACCACACCGCCAACTCAATGAAAATACGATTGAACAGGCCAAAAAAATTCACGGTGAATAGAGGCATCTGCTTCTCAGCAAATTCACGGTGAATAGTGAGCGTCGGATTTTCAGCAATCGAAGAGCCGGCCTTGACAACTTTCGAAAACCACTGACCAACTTTTCAATCGCGGCGGAAAATTCCGCATTTCGAACTGTCCGCATTACTTACTCATTATGCAACGGTTCTTCAAATTTGTGCTCAAATCCAGATCTGACCACAAACTGGCCCACAAGGATAACCTGACCTCCCGAGCACACATACCACATTGTGGCTCCACACCGTTATTGGCGAGGTACTTTACACCACTAATTCCATCGAAATATCAGCACCCAAGGTTTCCTGAGCACCCTTATCAGTGCTTTTGCATGAAAACATCATCTGGAGTCGTATAAGTATCCCGAAAGGTCAGGTCACCACCACCCCGCAAGTGGTATATCTCACGGTGAGAATAGTAAAAATGTCTAGTGAAGTTACTCTGTTCCTTCAATATAATTCTATCCGGCTAAATTTATAAATCGCTGCATTTCAATGATGCTGTAGAGGCAAATGAATTTCCTAAATTTGTAACAAATAGTATTAAACTTTCGCAAAATAACTTTTCGAAAAGGTTCTACAGCGCTGTCAAAAAGAGGAACTCAAAGTACGAATGATGAGTATTCGAGGGGTTCTTAATTCATACTGAAGTGAGGCGCTGACGATCTCAGTGAGCGAAGAAATTGGCGGTGAATGGATAACCTTTTGAGAGACCTGCTACGCTCCTTACATCATTGTAAACGAACCGTGTTTGACCCCTAAGGACAAATTTCGATAGAAGTTGTAGTCAAATTCCGAAAAGAGTCGGAAAGATCGGTCAAGAGAAAACAGTTCCAAATCATCCGCTTGAGTGTGCTTGAAGTGTGGAGAACAACGGGTAAGGAGGGCGTTGTTCTGTGGCTCCACTGTAGTACATGATCGAATCCTTTCTCCCAACCAATTGCCTCCCCAGACACATTGGATCAATACCGAGACTATGGGCGAAAGCTGTGTGAGCGATGACCACAAATCTACGTTAGCAACTAGTAAAAGCAAGTTTGCCTCATCAAAGAGCTCACAATCCTTAGCGACCAATCCCTCATTTTCACACCTTCCATCCGTCATCGTCGCAGTCTCTTCCATGATGGAAAGAAATTAAAGATATTGATGGTTACATCAAAAGGTTTGGGTAATATTACAGAACCACAGAACCCGAGTGGCTGTCGCAGCTTGGTAGGTTGAAAAAGTGGTTGAGAAGCGAGCAGACAGAATGGTTACTATACCACTTCAAGAATACACAGAACTTTACGACTAGAGAACAATAATTTATTTTAAGCTGTTTGAGGATGTGAATAGAAAGCAATATGACGATGGGCATGGAAAACATCCTTTTGAAAAGCCAAGCTCCGAAATTTGTGTGATTCCGCGAAAGTGGGAGGCGTCAAGGATGAGTGGTGAGAGCATTCAGCAAAAATGCTCTGCTCTTCAGCAAGCTTACGTTCGCGGAAAGTAGTACCTTAAAAGGAATGATCAAAAAAATAGGAGTTCCAGACTCATGAATGGAAATTTGGGTAGATCTCTTTGTGCACTTGGCATTCTAGCGATCCCACTGAGTGCTCGAAAAGTTAAGGTATACCCACCTCTTGGCCTTAAGGTCCTTTGATTACCTTGATTACTGAGGACGGTTTCTGTTCAAAACGACCGGAAGAAAACGATCTGTAAATGAAGGGACAAAACTGGTTTCTAACCATTCGAGAGATGCTTTCTTATGATAACATTGTGCAGTGTTATGGGTTCGTCGAATAGCTATCGGTTTGTATTCGATCGATTTGCGGAATAAATTGTAAGACATTTTGTGCCTCCCTCTATTGGAGCGATTTCAGAGAACAAGTCAGAGGAAAGGTCGACTTGGTAGGCCAACGAGGCCGTTCTTGTTTGTCGTTTTAGACGGCACTCTCAGATGACAATTCGTGACCTCGAAAAGTGCCACGGCCCCCAAACTCCGCCAAAATGGTGCTGAGCCTTTCCGAGTTACTCCCACAATCGAGAACACATCAAATGCATGAATGAAAGTGAAGGCAGAGAAGAAGAAATAATCAGAAAACATCGAGTTACAAACTTCCCTCCTTGGAAAACCGGTATAGCACTGGGAAAGAACTAAGCTTCTAGCTGATGACGACAAACGCCGTGAAACAAGAACAACAGTGAAAACGAGCTTGTTTGGTCGCCGAGGGAATACTGTGGCTTGCCACGCCCAGCGTTCAAATGTTTCAGCATCTCAGGTAAAGAGAAACGTTCTACTTGGGCCACTGGCATTGAGGACGAATTCCAGAGCATAGTTGGAACTGACCTATATCGTTGGGATGCGCCACGCAACAGGCTTCCACTCTACATAGACCGCCATGCCATGTGGATGGTCCATGTATGTGGTCACGATGCCACTCACCACTTTCTCACTTCAGATTTCTGAAATCTATCGCCACTAAAGTTTTCTCAGCAGCTTAACCATGTGTAATTGCTGATGGATTCCTTGTCGCCTAACGCTCATTAAACTCTTGGTTCACCCAAGTTCAAAAATATGATGATGAATAGGAAAAAATGTTAAGGAACAGAATGTTGCAGAGAGAAGCACTTTCAGAAAGAATATGAGTCAGATATGATCGTCTGGGTCACAATTGCCGAGCATCTGCCGCCTTCCAGCTCATCGCCTCGCTTGCGAATAACTTAATAGCCCTTTTTTATCGGAACGCCGTCTTGATTAAATATAGTCTTCTCAGAAAAGGCCATATATACACGATCGATGGTCACGCTGTGATAGGAACCGTTAGGGAGGAGTCACAGATACTAAGCTCTTCATCGGCATTTCTATGAAGAGGAACAAGTTGAAAAGGAAGCTCAATCAGTCTTTTGGCGCTACAAACGTTTTCCAGACGCTGCGTTGGTTCTCAGATGCTCCGCAATGGTTGTCACCTCACTTTATGCGACTTCTTCTGATCTATTAGGTTTTTACGCTGAGATTCTTCCTAATGATCCGAAGATTTCACTGGAACATTTATCATTCTACTGAAGATGTCCTTTTTTGCTTCTTCG